TACATTGGAAGGGGATACAAAGGGTGAAAGAGAAGCTACAGAGGAGGAGGAAAGAGGGGGGGGGACAGAAGTGGGGGAAGGAGAATGACAGAGGAGGAGGAAAGAAGGCAGGCAAAAAGAGCAGGAGAAACATTATGAGCTGTTGTTAGGGGGGGGGGGGCACAAGGCGGGAAGAAGAGAGGGAAACCAGACCGGCAGAATTGGAGTCGGGGGATTAGGTGATTTTGAAAAAGGTGGAACTCGCAGAAGAAGAGTTTAGAAGAACTTTTTTCTCATCAAATAAAGCGGGTTTAGACTTCGTATTGATAGGTATAATCCTATTTTGGTCTGAAACTTTTATTTTCAATTTCCCTACTGCTTTGAGCTGTTGCCGTTTTCCAATTTGCCTTTGTTGTGTAGTATTTCAGATTTGGCAACTGTTTTTCACTTTTGACGTCACTATTAATTTTTAAAAATTTGAATCGAAAATTTAGGTCAGATCATAGAAACCATGGAAGGCCAAGGTCGAATTGCCTGTCCGCTTCACATCCGGTACACCTTGCGATTGCGCATTGTTTGAGTCCAAATAGCCACGGGAGGTTATTCAGACCCGAGTCCGAATAGCAGCGGCCTCCCCGAAACCTGTTTATATATGACAGTTTGAATTGTGAAATTTTCAGAAATTTGATACGATGGTGGGAGAGAGGGGAGCTCAACTGAGTGGTGGTCAAAAACAACGTATCGCCATCGCCCGGGCGCTTGTCAGCAATCCCAAGATCCTTCTGTTGGACGAGGCAACATCAGCCCTTGATTTGGAGAGCGAATCCATTGTACAGGAAGCTCTTGATAAGGTCAGTGGTGGCTGGTATGGGCAAATGAGACCCCCGATTTATCATCGATGTTTCTTCTTCTCTTTCAGTCCTCATGATCATGACCTCATTGAATACAAATATTTTAAAAAATATTAACAGTGGGAACATATCACCTCATTTTTGGAACTACTGTTAAACTATCGCTTAATGTTTTATCATCCCCAATTTAACCTTTATAAAATCAATTTTCTTGCTTAAAAAAAATCTCAGATCGTTTGACGCCTTAAAAAAATTTTCGGCAATGTTTCGCCAACATCAACAACAACAACAACAACAACAACAACAACAACAACAACAACAACAACAACAACAACAACAACAACATGATGCAAAGCTCACGTACTTTAAACGGCACCAATATTGATTCTTTCTCTCCATCACTTTCTCCCCTCCCCCTTCTCTCTCTCTCTCTCTCTCTCTCTCTCTCTACTCTCTCTCTTGTTGCAGAGTGTAAAAAGAGTACAGGATATGTATCTACACACACACACACACACACACACACACTCACACACACACACACACACACACACACACATTCACACACTCAAACACACACACACACATACACACACACACACACACACACACACACACACACACACACACTTATATATGTGTGTATATGTGTATAGCATTTATACATATGTGCGTGTGTCTGTGCGCGCGCGCGCGTGTGTGTGTGTGTGTGTGTGTAGATATGTATCCTGTACTCTTTTTATACTCTGCAACACATTCTATCAATGAAAATATACGGGCGCTTGTTTGTATTAACTTTTCTGGAGGCCCATCAGCACAGTTGTAATAATGATTGACTATTCTGCAGGCAACTGTGGCGCACATCACCAGTGTGGATTTTGTTGTAACTGCGTTGTTTGACGAGTTGAACTTTTGTATTGCTCAACCCGTTTGAAACAAGACTTTAAATAGAAAATTTGACCTTGCTGAATCAGTTTTTGCTGCGATGAAAGGTGTGTTTTTTTAATTCGGCAGTAAACAAATTATCTACGTTTTTCTGTAGTCCGTCCAGCACCCAAAAAATATCGAATCGTTATTTTTATGAATAGCTGTTGATTCCACTTACTTTGAGCTTTGATATTATACGTACATGACAAACCAGTTTAGTCTTTTCGATTAATATTTTTCTCAAGCTTACGGGTTGATAAGTACGTTTCCCCGACACAAGTGTCTTTATTCTGGGATTACAACTGAGGTTGAAATAAAAACATACATGTATTTCCCGCACGTTTCTGGAAACATATTTCATATGTTCAACTATCGCTTAATGTTTTAGCATCCCCAATTTAACCTTTGAAAATCAATTTTATTACTTTAAAAAAAAATCTCCGATCGTTTGACGCCATTAAATATTTTCAACAATGTTTCGCCAACATCAACAACAACAACAACAACAACAACAATAACAACAACAACAACAACAACAACAACATGATACAAAGCTCATCTGCTTTAAACGGCACCAATACTGATTTTTTCTTCCCCACACATTCTGCCCCCCCCCCTTCTCTCTCTCTCTCTCTCTCTCTCTCTCTCTCTCTCTCTCTCTCTCTCTCTCTCTCTCTCTCTCTCTCTCTCTCTATCCAATGAAATGAAATCTTGAGTATAGACAGTCCCAGAGAAACGAACACATCAATGATGCATTAGAGGCACTTGTTACTGATCAACCTAAATAGAAATATTGAAAGAACACATTGATATCATTATGTCACGTGGATCGTGTTAGTACGTACCTTGAACAATGTCCACATTCCCAGGCTCGAAAAGGAAGAACAACTCTCGTCATTGCGCATCGCCTGTCCACTGTGAGAACTGCTGACGTCATCATTGGCTTGAATAAAGGAAAAAGTGTTGAAATGGGGACCCACGAGGAACTGATGGAAAAACAAGGAATCTACTATGACTTGGTGACGAGCCAGGTATCAAGGAGTGAACGAATACTCTTCATTTGGCTTTCAACCTGTTGACTTGGTACCAAGAAAAGGGCACCTGTGGTGTAGCGGTTAGACGCTTCGTCATTTAGGCAAAAGACATGAGTATGATTCCCATGGGGGGGGGGGGATTCCTTTAAATCGAGTATCTCCGTCTGTCTGCAGGAACGTTGTCTACTCTCATAGCCTGTGTTGGCCCTCACACGTAGGGTCAAAGCTCCCCGCTTCCTAAATGATTTAATGGAAATGTAGGACACCTATGATTATAATAACATGAAAATGACACTCTTACTCATAACTCTTGGTGCGCAAGAACAAATAGCATGATTACATAGCTTCACTGCCTTTTGATAGCTCACCGTATTCATCCTCACAAAGAGGTGTTGTTTCATAGCCATCTTAGATAGTTCTTAGCCTTGGAGGTTGTAAATTTGAACTCCTTGATCATTATTGCTCTTTTTATTTTCGCCCTGTTGATCAATTTATGCGTTTATGAATAATATTATTTTTGCATGAGGACCCGATTTCAAAGGGAAAAACAAAAAGGAAAACAGAGAAAACACGAAAGACGTACACATAATATGTCAAACACGACAATTCATGAATTTAATTGTCTTTCAATTGAGCAACTTGTCGTCTGTGTCAACCTGACCGTCTAAATGGCTGCTTGAATGTCCTGCAGACTTAGGCTACTGGCCACCTTGCTAGTTGTTTGTGTGCATGTCCCTGTCTGTCTGATCTGGCCCTTGACAGATAATTTTTGGTAATCAGGAAGTAACATACAAAACACAATCCTCAGAAACTGCAGAGGAAAAAAAATAACATATCTAACCCTAATGTAATATAATTGTCATCTATGCATTAAACACGATTACTCAATAGTAGCATATTGATAGCACAATGAGTATAATAATAATAATAATAATAATGAAAATAATTTCTGTAGCGCCCACTCCCGTGTAAACACAGCTCTAGGCGCTATAGACGGAAAGACAGGACAATAACAAAGGTAGAGACACAAAACGACAAGAAGACAGACACATTTTCGGACAGAAACGACAAATCATGAATCAATGTGTGCACAATGACTACCGTACTGCCAGAGTAAATGTTATTCAATCTCTTTTTCGTGCATTCCCTTTTCAGACGGACCTGCCTGATGAAAATGGTAAGCTATGACTTCGTCAAGTTTTAACACTCATAATTGCAGCTGTGAAAGTCACGCTGGCGGAAATTCTCTCTTTATTTTGAGGTACATGTAATCGGCCTTTGAAAACTTACATTGTGAAGGTAAAGATGATTAGGGTGGACGAAAGACAGGGAAAAAAGATCGAACGGAGGAAACTAATTTTAAAATTATGACAACTACGAGTACAACGAAAAATATATATTCATCTACAACTTTCTGCTATTTCTAACCTAATTATAGATCACAATCAACCTTTTGTCCTCACCAAGCTGTCAGTGCCCCTAAATTTATGAAAAATTCCACTAAAATCTGAATCACCCTCTTGCTTAAGAGAACAATTTCATATCAGGTTAGCAAAAAACGGACGTGGATGTTTTCCTTGTCCTATTCATATTATATATGCATTGTTTGCTTACTATTACATGTATTATAATTAGTTTTAATTTTTTTAAAGTTTGCTAAACCAAGCGTACTTCTCTTGATTAAACTCTAGAGTCCAAAGAAAAAAGTGGCCTTGCTTTCACAAAAGGGGTTTTCCTTCATCAGAACAAAGTTTGGATGACCTGAAGAAAAAGGAAAACAAAGTCAAACAGAAAGCAGATTCAAGTGCAGTCGCCAAAGATTCTACCAAAGAAACGGATGAATATGAGGTATATACACAAAGGAATCTCCTAAATGGGACGGGAGAGAGAGAGAGAGAGAGAGAGAGAGAGAGAGAGAGAGAGAGAGAGAGAGAGAGAGAGAGAGAGAGAGAGAGAGGGAGGAGGTGAGGAGGTGAGGAGTGAAGTTAACTTCTCGAAATAGTATTTGCTCATTGTAACATGAAACCACGAAGGCAATATATCGTAGACAGTCAGTTTGCACCATGTGGTTAGTATTGTGATATGTGACTAAAGTGATACGTGTTACACTGCACTCATAGCTATATTTTTTACGCTGCACATTGTAAAATGACAATGAAGATTTCTCATTGTGAAACAGATACAGGTATGATTATCATTTATATGCCGTAAATGTCTATTATATTGCAACGCCCTAAAATGTTAGGCATCACAGTACGCAAGTTTGACAAGTTACAATTAACTTGGTAGGATGATATTCCACTTTTTAAATTCACGTTGGGAAATTTGAGAAACAATGACATACATATGTAAGCATATATAAACACTCAGATATAAGCATACTTGATATACTTGATAACATGAATGATACCAAAGTTATCAAATACACGATATTAGCACAAATATTTTAGAAACACGCCTATGCTGGTCGCAACGGAGCGCCAGGTTTTTTAGCTGGGGATTATTATATCTTGCTCATGGCTAAGGACACCCCCCCTCCCCCACCTTTCCCAGTCGCCACCCATCTAAACACTCTGCCATTGACCTAGGCCTGTGTTTGACATTTTTGTCCCCCACTAACCATCCAGCCACAGGAATCAAATGGACGATGACACTGCTGCCAGTGAGCACATAGTATAAAGACTGACATACGTGTACTGTCATGTTGTACTATCTACAGTCTCTATAGTCGCCACTAATTGTCGACAGTTTTTCATGCGTTGCTTACTGGAAATTTTGTCTGCTAAACAGTCTCTCTTTAGCTTTACTTTACCTCATCTCTCTCCTCTACTCTAGCTCATGGCAATGAACAGCGTGTTACCATTGCGGTCACCAGGACAGTCTTACCTAAATCTGTTGCCTAACCTTTCCCTGTTCTGTTCCCATAACAGCATACCAACATTGTCTCGTCTGTATCGATCCTATCGCAATATCATTCTTTTACACTGGTCAGTCTAATAAACATTTGACATCTTCTCATTTGCTCTGACGGCAAATTCTTATTTTACTCCAGTTACACCGTAACAACAATACTTTTTCATTCACTGACATCGTTATCGTTACCATCAAATACACAACGTGCGCTGGCTTAATAAAATGGCGAGTGATTTGCCCATTCACATTAACGCGCTGTGGCAATCAAGCAGGCCTGTTGCCCAAATAACCCTCTACGATAGCTGACCACGAACATTAACACAACTGTTCAGACAGGGTCAAGTAGAGGTGAAAATGGTTTCATCCATGGCAATTAAGAACACATTTCTTCCAATAATATCTTGTATCTAAATGAAAATAATACGCCATGGTCTTTCTCCAATAGCAATACAGTTGTGCAGTTGACATGCAGCTTTCAGTAACATAAAGGTTACATAATATAATCGACATAACTTTGTTCTCGTTTTGATATTATGCTAAAGTGTGAGTGTCCATCAGTATGTCGGGGGGGGGGGGGGGGTCCCTGGAAGTTTATACTTTTAATAGTCCACAACTTTGTCTGATTATTCTGTAACTATACTTTATCAAACTAACGCGTCATTGATTCTCTTGGCAGGAAGACGAAGATTTGCCGGATGCCCCATTTACTCGTCTCTTCAAGATGAATATCAAGGAACTTCACTACATCATAATTGGGTGTTTATCTAGTGGTATAATTGGTGGGATACAGCCTGCCTTCGGTCTTATCTTCGCTGAGCTGGTCGAAGTAAGTTATTTGTTGTACTGACAGAGACTTTATAGATGCGTAAAAGACCTTACTGTTCGTTAAAAACAGAGAAAACCAGAAATACGATCAGTTTCCTGACTGTATCTCAAGCGAAATGAATAGTTGCATCAAGAAATACTGCCGTTTTACAAACAACATAATATCAGGACTAGCAGATAAAGTAGCAACAAAATAGCATTGCATGGTTTATAGTCAGTGCTATGGTTATAGTGGTAGACCATGAATTATCTTGTTGTGAATTTTTAAACTGTAAATACTTGTATGGTGAAAATGAGTTGAACAGTCAGTATTGTTGGGTAACGACATTCATTCACTTATCCATTTTTAAGAAAATAAGAATACGTACATTTATTATGAAATGATAAATTGGTATAATTAATAGTTTAAAAGTATAAAAGAGTGCATTCATAATAATGAATATGATTGAAACTGAAACCAGTGGCGGTGGGTGGACCAAAATTTGGGTGGGGCTTAGGTTGCGCACAGTTCTTTATCTCCAAATAGCAAGCAATGAGAACTAAACAATGATGATTTTTCTATACTCACGGTGAGCCACGTCAGTTTGAGAACCATTCAAACGAAAAGAGTTGCCTTTGATTTCCATCTCTTTGTTCTTAGTTAAATTCTTGTTGATGGTGGGGACCAAGCCGATTCACTTCCAAATTTCCTCTAATTAGTTTTTGTGTGATGGAAAAGTTGCCTTGAAAGTAGTTCGACCTGATATATAACTGTTAAATCTCAGCGGCACAAATACAAACATGCACGCACAGCACTTTAAACATAATACTTCTTTGAGCTGGATTAGGCCGTGTAGTCGAGAAAGTTAAACGCACCCAAGAAAGAACCAATGAGCGCGTAGGTATCTGAGTCAGTGTGAGAAAGTGTGTCGTAAACTTTCACCCCATTGTCAGGGCTAGGAGAGCGTGAACCCTCGGTACAGTGTTTATTTTTCCCCAGTCTTCTACCTTTTTACAAGAAGAATTTCATTAAGGACGGGTTGTGGGAAAAGGGCTCATCTTCGCTGAGTCCTAAAGACATTTGATTGGCTGCTGGGTTACTATAGTTGTAAGCAGTGACAACAGTGATTGGACAAGCGAGCAAGCCGCCAAGTTGTTCTTTGCGTGCGGTCATAACGGTTTCAACGGCTTATTTCATTATGGAGAAACGTTTATTTACTTTGGGATAGAGTTGGGGTGATGGGTGGGGAGGGGGTAGGGGTTCAAGCCCGTGAGCCCTTTACTACCCACCGCCATTGACTGAAACAGTGGACTTCATCTGAACCCTACATCATTTCACTCTCCTCTCTGAGAGCTCCTCCTCCCCTTCCTTTCCCCAACTCATTGTCCATTTACAACACCTACACTCACACACACACACACATATATATATATA